CCGAACAAATCTTGTGTAGGGCAAACTATCTGCATCCAGATAGTACTGCCAGCAAATACAAGAGAGACTGGAGTGGCCAGTTCTGGCTTATTAGCCGTCGTCAGAAGCTCGGGTGGGACACCACTTGGATCTGGGTATGACTGGCTGACGCCAGAACTAGCCACATTCCAGTCTCCCTTGTCTTTGCCGGCAGTACTGTCTGCCTATACTACCAGCCGTTGCAGCTGTCAGGGTTTCTGTCGAGACCCAAGGCAGAGCGGGACAAATGAGCTCTGTTAGCGGTCAGGTGAATGCTCATCGGCAAGTATCTGCGACCATCCTACACATACAGCCAGCATAGTCCGTAGAGCAAGGATAGAATAGACCGAAGCATAGTCAGTGCAGGCATCAGAACTGGGCTATCGTCTAATCACCACCGTCAACGATGCCGCGAGCTCGAATAAGTAAAAGAAAATGCAACCGTACCTCAAAGTCCGTAGACAGGATAATTTGTTCCTTGCCGGCCTCAGTTTTTGCAGTACTCCGGTAGAATCCTTCCATGTTGTCATTCAGCTTTCCCTTGAATTCTAGGTTGAGTACAAACCGTCCCTCCTGGAGAAGAAGAAGAATAAGAACGAAAGAAAAAAAGGAGACGAAGAAGAACAATAACAACAACAAATTGAGGCTTGAAAGGAAGGTGGCTAACCTTGATCGGGGATTCAAAGTGTAGGGTGACGAGCTCCAGGGTTTCATCGTACTTGATTGACGCCGGCGCTCCTGGAGATAGAGAGAGAATGAGCGGAAAGCACAGTCGACTTACCCAACTTACAAAAGGCTGACAGAATTTCAATATTCTTCGCATTCAAAACAACGTCATTAGTAGTTTGAGCAACCTGTCAACGTAAGAACAAAATGATATATGGTGAGACGGCAGCAAGGTAGTAAAGGCACACGGTAGTAAATGCACACGGAAACCGGTCGCCTGCTTGCAAGGCAGTCTTTTTAAACGTTGAGTAAGGACTACCAAAGAGATATACAGTAGAGGCTTGAGTAACGAGCCCGAGTGATGAGCTTCCGCTTGGTTAACGAGTTGTCAGTACGTGTGCGTGTGTGTGCACCCGTGTCCGCCGTTGGGTCTTCTTCCTAGGGCGTGGGTCCTCGGTCGCCTGCAGCCAGTCAGTGAATTGATCCAATCTGATTGACTAAGTTGCGCAACACGAGTGCAGTATAGCAACATATTAAGCTCATTAACTGGGGTTCTACTGTATAGGTATTTTTGGCATCAGAATAGTAACAGGAAGGAAACATTTGACAATCTCACCGCCGGCATTTCAGCGTTTTGCAGAACATTTAGGAAAGATTAAAGACTGCCTACGAGCATCTCCTGCAAAGACACCTCAATTAAAATGAAAAGCCTGAGAAGGCGGTAATGATG